TTTTCGAACGCGCAAATTCATGGGCAAAAAGGGGGTTGTCATCCCTCGGCTCTTGGCTACTTTTCTTGCCTATGCTTCACCGACTACCTCTCCTTGATTCTTAATGGGCTGTCTTTTCTTCGTGAACTTCCTCAAGGCGAGTTACCCAGCTTACCACTTGAATTACTGCTTAGCTTAGCTTTTCCTACCTGATGTCAATAAAACAAAACAGGAGCGCTAGTCGAGGTGTGTAAGAAAGTGGAGGCTCTGACTTAGTGGATGTACTAAAGATTCACACAAAAGTGGCGTAACTAGTCCCAGGAATAAATTCATAAGGTAGTTACGCGTCTTCATATCGCTTTAGAGACAGCCCGGAGACTGCGGCCAAAGTGAGTAGAGGTCGGCGAGAGAAAGGTTAAACGCTATTGGTGGGTGGGGCATGCAAAGTAGGGGGCGGAGCTAAAATCCAAAGTCTCAGTATGGTCCAGGAATAACGCGGAAACCGAGAAGGAAACAGATAGAATCTAGTTCGGGGTGAAGGGCAGGTCAATATTCGTGGTGTATCGGGCTGAATGTAAATTTTTTGCCGTACCGTTCTCTACCGCGGCAGGATTGTGTTGTGCGCGCAACAGCGTGTGGCGCCAAGCGGCATCACTATGCTTTATTAGTTGATCACAAAAGCGAATAGCTACCACACAGAACAGGTTATATGCTTCGTTTCAAAATTCGGAGTCAAAAGTAATGAAGGCTTAGCCGAGAGTCTAGCAGCAGCCACTTCTTTTTACTGCTTCGTTCAGTAATGAATCTGACTACGGTTTTGTCTGGCGTAACCGGTGTGGCGGCTGCCACCACCGCCCTGAGCATCATCATTGTGGGATATCTGGTCAATGATATCAATCACTTCTATGCTGATTCTCTAAGACAGCTGGAGCAGTTCAAGGTCTGAACTTTAAAAGATTATATCGGTTTTTCCTGAAAATTAGCTTAATCGGCTTCGATTTCAGGACATTGCGAATTCGGCTTGGTATGAAATGCAACCAAGTCCCACGGAACGTCGTCGCCAACTGCGATCAATTCTTCGCCCACCTCGACAATATTCCGACATATGCGATTGCGCACCACAGGTCGTCAATTGTCCCGTTGGCCCTCCCGGTCCTCCTGGAGAACAGGGTGCAATGGGGGAGATGGGAATGCAAGGGGCTCCAGGAAGGAGAGGTTACGACGGCATACAAATTTCCGGACGAGGAGGAGCAGGAGGTTGCGTAAAGTGCCCTATGGGTCCTCCTGGACCGCCAGGTCCAGACGGAATTCCAGGACCGAAAGGGCCTGATGGAATACCTGGCAAGGGTGTCACGAGCTCAGCAATAGGATTGCCTGGACCACCAGGCTTACCAGGAGATGCTGGAATGCCTGGTCCGCCAGGAGAACCTGGTCCGCCAGGAGCTCCTGGAATGAGTGGAGTATCCAGAACAAACCTACCTGGGCCACCTGGACCTCCAGGACTTGTGGGACCACCCGGCCCTCCGGGACTAATCGGTGAAATGGGACCAGTGGGTCTGCCGGGACCACCAGGGTCTCCTGGACCTGCTGGTAATCTTGGTAGACCGGGAATGGATGGCCCTCCGGGACCACCGGGGCCTATGGGCGAGCCCGGCTACGATGCCGCGTACTGTCCCTGTCCAGCAAGGAGCTCCTACTTCCTGCAAAATTTGAAAAGAAACGCAGGAGTGGTCAACATGGCGGCCAGTCGAGGTCATCACCCCAACAAAAAGTATCACTTCAAGAAAACGAGTTTCTAAAAAAGCGATGAGGAAAGTGATGAAATCGTAGTTTGTTACTTCAGTACACCTTAATCTATCATTTTAATTATTTTGACATAGCAGCTTTTATGAAGAGGTAACGATATCGGAAATAAAGGACTTATTTATTTATTCATTTGTTTTTGTTTAATTGAAATTTACACAAGTGTTGTCATATGTTAATACGCGTTTAAAGCGACGCTTGTGAAGGAAATACACTAAAAGCTCTACGTCAGGTAGCTTGCTGCCTAGAACGATCGATCTGTAGATCTGGAACAGGTAACTCAGCATAAAAGATCTAAATAGTGAAAATTTACATATTTCTGCAGCATAAATATCTCGGCAAACATTATATGATAGCGCAATTGCCACACCTATAAGCTGACATTGCAGAATTGTTATTCAAAAAAAAGTCCGATTAAAGCCACTTTCCGTTTATCAATCCCGTTTCGAGATGCTTGTTACGCATCTCCTTCCACTTATATGTTATTCAATTCAAAGTGCGATTATTTGTATGCAGCATGGCCTATTCAATGACTGGAGGGCAGTTCGATGTAGTACAAGTCACAGGTGTTTTTGTCTTCTCTCAGAGCATCAATCGCTACCTAATTAAATCCCACGGATGAGAGGAAGGCTTGCTTGGCTGGTATCACGTCAGGTTTGATACCGTAACGGCTGATGCAAGGTGCAACTAGCCCTAACAACTCTCAACTGAATTGCTAGATAATTTAAGTTACATCAAAACGAGCTCATGATACCCATGAACTCTACGAAGAATACGTTAATAGTTTTGGTTATTGGGCTAGGCGAATTTTGTGTAGGGATACTTCCTAGATACACTACAAAAGCTGAAGCCGCTATGACATCCTCAGTGTTACCTCTATTTCTTGAAAAAGCAATTTCTAGCGATCCACTGAAACTGTGCTGTGCGGAGTTTTCGGCTCAAAAAATCACATCAATAATTCGCTACATTCAACTTGGGGAATTTGGCTGACCAGGGAAGGATGATGGATCGAAGTGGCTGTAGGCAATGAGACTTACACTGTTGGATCTGTTTTTGGATGCGACACGAATCCGCTTCCCTCTGTCAGTCGACTTTTTGAGCGGAGTTATGACGCAAATATCAGCCGACATAGTTGTCCGTGCTCGCGGACGAGAGGTCGTAGGCCGATTTTTTGACGGATTCCCCCTTTTGCTTCCGCGGCAACATGCTTGAAGAAGGTTTCCAGTACGCTACATGATCAACGCTTGCCTATAGCTACCCGATCAAAGAGTTAGCTGAGAAACCCGGACCACTAGCTCTATTTCGCTTCATAACTCAGTTCAGAAAATCGATTGGCAGATTTGAAAGCAGATTCGAGATCAGCATTCAAAAACACATCCACCAGTGTGGGTCTCATTGCATATGGCACTTCGATTCGTCATCCTCTCCTGGTGCTCCATCGCTTTCACGTTGCAGGCAACGGCTCATAAGAGTCTGACGTAATTCAACTCAATGAAGTCATTCGACATGACGGAATTTGGAGGATTTTCCCTCGTTCATCGCAAATACATCCGCGCTCTTGAAAGGAACGTTGTTCTTCTGAGCGCTGAGCTTGACACTTATGTAATTTATAGGCTTGTATTCTAAATCTGCTACGCACAATCGTTCGTACCTTTTGAATTGGTGCTTTGATACTCGAGCCAATTTTCCAATGCACCTCATTGGATTGCGCAGAGCCCTTGACAATATTCATGATCACTTCTAGCTTCCATAGCGGACCGGCGACCGACCTCTGGAGAGAAAGAGTATCAACATAAGCTTAGGGTGTATTCCGCATAAGAATCGGATAATCTCAAGTCTCAGCTGCTCGTTAGTTTCATGTGACTATAAGCTCATGGTAACCTGCTGAAGGCCTACATCCAAAGGGTTCTGAACAAGCCTCCGAAAAATCCCTATCACAATAGTTTGAGTTCGAACTCACTTGGAAGTAGAGATGATCCCATTAGGTGGCTGTAGGATTGGCAGCGCTGGCCTTTGCAATGTGTAGGCTACGACGGCGCCAGAGAAATCAGAAACAGTGCGCGAGGAGTGGAGACGCAGGCGGTCGATACGGAGGACTTTTTAGATATGACCACATTTCAACTGCCACTTGCGTTGATCGAAGCAGGGGTGGGGTGAAGTGACAAAGAGAACCAGGTTCACGCTGATTCTTCAGTATTGTAGCGCACGTGTTCCACGTTGGTATTGGATAGATCACGGGATCAATTCTGGTGGATGTACAAAATTTTGTAAACTTCGTAGGCTATTTCTTTTGTCCGCAACTCTTTCAGCATCGTTGGATGGAACTCTTCAGTGCATTGATTATGATTCTGCCATGAGACGTGCATTGAAGGTCAAGCCCATAGATAGCGCAAGTTTTGCAGACATTGTGAGGGATGCTATGCATTTCAAACATGGCAGATTGCCAATGGCTCAGTGGAAACGTTCCTCGCTGCTACTAGCATGGTTTCTGGATCAACACCCAAGAATCTAGTAAAATTCTAAGATTTGCAAACAACATCTTTTGCTTACCTGTTGTCAACATCTCTTCAATGCTGCGATCGATCCTTGCTGCAATGGCGAAATCCCGGATGTGAGCCCTATCATCCAGGGTTCAGGCCCGACAAGTCCTCAAAAGTGGTCAAGTTTAGAATAGAATAATAGTTTTGAATATTGCGGTAATGAAAACATAGCGGCTGGACTACCCGGATGTGGATACACCATACTGAAAACTTATATTCTAAATTTTTATCAGCTATATATATACACCAGCTTTGCTTTTGGGTATCACATGACCTAAGGTCCGCGGGCTCTCCAGATTGTGTCACACATAGTCCTGTAAACACTCAGCATTTCTCCTGAATTCTGGTAATTTAGCGGTGAATAGGGTTATGCTGTTAGCCTCAAAATTAGAATGAAACATGCTCACTTATAGAAATTGAGCTTCTAATACTGAATACAATACTCTCATTGGAATACATGTAGTACATTGTGATTATATAACAATGTGAGGCTTAATATAAGTGAACTAATAACCATCACTAGACAAAGTAATAACAAGAAAAAGAATTCTTCAAGAAACGGTAACCTCAGTTACACTCTCGTCGGCCTCAGGGGCCTATTGACGAATTATTCATTCCTTTCTCCAGCTAGAATTGAATAGAGGGCGTGGTGGTGGCCTTCTCTTGAAATGAGGAAAGTGAGTATAGTATTAGGAACGATTGAGCAATGCCAGCACTTCTGTTTCTTACAACGACAATCTTGCGATCTCATATTGAGACAGTACTTGCATCGCTCGTCTCGGCCTGCAGGAAACAGACGCTCTCAGGGTTGCATAATCTGTACACGGATCAGAGAAGTGCATTTCCTGCTTCTCACAAGATGCACATGAGGAGCCCTTCAACTGCCTACGATTCTGACCAGCCTTTCGTGGTTGGAGAGCAGACTCCTTTTGCGAAACTCGTCTAAATCTCTTCCGATGTTTGAATGAAGCCCCCTCTTTGGCCTGTGTTTGGTAATCAGCGTTATCAAATCAGTCACTGGTTTCCTTGATGAGATAATACTAGTAATCATCATCTGAAAAATGTCGCTCTTATGTGTGTTTTTCGTTCGTTTTCGAAATGCTTCTGCTGCGGAGCAGCCTTACTGTCCTTGATGATCATGGCTACCTTTGCAAGGCACTTTTCGTCTGCTGTTAGGTAGTATGAACTTCTTCGCAGTTATTGAGTGTTGGGCCCTTCAGCACTACTTTCCCTTGCGACCTAAAGATCTCTGAATTTCGTGCTCGATATCATCAACGTGGCATCAAATTTAGACAGGTATTTCTGAACTAGGAGCGTTGCGTCCTTTGTATCGGTATAATATTCGTAGAGTTCCCTTTCTAGGCATTTCCTGCGCCTGAGTTCTGCAGACCCCTCTTTGTTCGTGAGAAGAGCTTAGATCGTCCGTTTACATGTGCATCTCTTTGCATCGTGGTCGCAATGTTCCCAATCATTATCGTGACCGTTGTTGAAGGTAATTTGTTGCTAAAGTTGACTTGCCTATAGTTTTGTCCGTGCAGGTATGTTCAAGCAAGTTGTTTGTCAGTGAAATATCGAGTGCTTTGGAAACTTTGATCTGCCGGTGGATTTCGTTCAAAGAGTCTCATATTGCATTCCAACTTTCTCTTCATCTTCTTTCACACGCTTCTGACAGAAGACGGGATTCCTTTGCTAATGTTTTTTCTTCGTTCCGCAACAAAGCGATGCATGTTTGCCTGTTTTTGGTGCATTAGTGAATCTTTAGAAGCAAACAAACTACAATTTATTGTAAGTGGAATAATGATCATTACCGTCTATCAGTACTGCTGGTAGCTCCGTTTGTTGGCCTTGACAAAGCAGTGGTGGCTGAGCCGATTGAAATTTAGAGTAAATTTGTACTGCAGCCACTATTGATATGTGTCCCAATACCAGATCAATACCAGAGAAGCGCTCATTAGCCCACAAATGGACAGCATTATCTCGGTATAGTAATCGATCCGATAATAACAGCGGTAAATGTGATGCTGTTGTGGAATTATTGTGCATAAATGACAGAGGTATGAACGTATCATATGTCAAGTGGAATCATATAACAATTGAAGGCAAACTTCGGATTTCTGGTCGAAATTTAGCTTAAAGGACGAATTCACGATCAGAGGGAAAATCGAATTAGGAAGAATTCACCTGGTTGAGGGACCCGCGGAGCTCCTAAGTGTGCGAACTGAAGCACAATTTGCACAGGAGGAGTTGACCTCGTTGACCTATTAAGGTTTAATCCCGCCGCGGCTGGTCAGTGCACGCCCACCGATCATCTGATCACTCGCCGCAGGTCTATACGTGCCAGCGACGGATTGCACGACACCACCAGCAACATCGTCGTGCAGCTCATCGACGAGAACGACCATGCACCGGACATCGCCGGTCCATCAGAAGTCCAAATTCCTGAGGATGCCGAGCGAGGCACAATCGTCGCACGATTCACTGTCACCGATCGTGATGCCGGTGATCATGCAAGGTAAGAGGAGTTCCACGAGGTCTGGCTCTATCTGACTATACTTGTCGTCGCGACTATTCCTGTTACGCAAGCTGTAAACCACTTGTCACTGCCATTCGGCTTGGACACATCGCTGGCAAAGTCGCGATTGTCCACCTATGTGTCCCTCTATACGTGGCGAGTGATTAGATAGGTGAGAGAGCGTAGTGTTGAAGAGGGCACAGCGATGAGAGTCGCATCAATGCTCAAATCAACGGGCAAGGAAGGGGTCCCATTTCTCGGGTTCTGGGCCGTTTCTCATGGTTTTTCCTTCTTTCGTGTACCACTCACCATCCTAACTTAATTTGAAATGGGTTGCCTTTCCAGCGTGAATTCGTCCTTTAAATGCAGAGGAGTGCGAGCACGTGGAAAAGGTAGAAGTGGCGGGGTAGTTTGACAAGGCTTTGGCGCTAACAACCAATGACGCCGTCCCTACCCCATGCTCACCTACCATTCCACGTGACTTTCCAAATAATCTGGAGCGCTAGATGTTGAGCTGTTGTGGGAAGGTCGGCAGGAAGAATCAGGGATTTCAACTGTGGAAGTTTTAAATAAAAGCCTATTTATGCCTCGACCATCATCAAGAATTTTCAATTCACCATAGTGAAAATCAAATTTTTAAGATAGGGAACGAACAATAAAGGCGCAGATTAGCAGAAAAATAAAAATAGAGATAATCAATTCTCATCGCTGCGTTTCTGTAGCCGCGCCAGTTGACAGAGCCAGTAGTTGCTGTGAACACGTCCGAACACGTAATTTTCCCAACCCCAGCTTGTAAGTAACTAACGAGAAGGAGGTTTTAATTTTGAACTTGTTTGGGGGTATTTCCTGCTTTTTTCTTGAACTTCGAGTCCCTTATGGTTATCACCTTGCAATCCTATTTGAACAGGCAACTCCATTTTTTCCGTAGCTTGCCTTTGAGCAATTGACGATTCCTCAACTAATCCCTCTATTGATTTAGTGCCTTCTGTTTTAGTTAGTGGCGGCATTTCCTCGCATAGTACACGTATAATTATGCAGACGCAGACGTTTCATTCATATGAAGGGAATTTCCTTCTGAGAGCACAGAATTGAAAATTTGCAAGTGGAATCGCGGGTGCAAACCTAAATGTTTTAGCCATGGCTCATCACTTGTGCCATGATTTTTTGCTGCTCAGCCTCAAAGAGTAAGATATGCTTTTTGGCCGCACTTGCAAATAATATTCATTATTTTCTCCTAATTCTCGAAGGCAATACTAAACGGACGGCATTGTCGACTAGCGACGTCATGTTCGTAGGATCAAGAGCAGCAATGCAGGATCCCATTTAGTCTAACATTCTGCTTGTTCATCGAGTTCAGGACCTGCTGGCCCGATCCTCCAAATTCTTTGCTCGTGCCCGCTGGCGGGAGAACTCATCAGTAGCTCTCTTATCAAAGCAATGTTGTGGGAAGGAAGGCGCCAAAAACGGAGCTTTGCATCTAGTCAAAGAAGGTCCTATATCTTCATTGCATTGGAAATACTGCTCGAGCAACGAAGAATTCAAAAGAGCAAACCAAAATTTTATGGAGCTAGTGATGTTGTAAATGTAGTATAGTGAGCTGTAGTGGGCTTACCAATTGTTTGAAGCATTTGTAAAAACCGCAGCAAGAGTTAGTTATTTTTTTCTGAATTCTGCTGGACTACGCTATCGGCTGCAGTGGAGAACTTGCTTTCTGATGATTTTATTCGGCTTTCAGCAGGCAACACCTAGACAGATCGTATTTTTTATGACTTCCGGTTTATATCGATTTATATCCTTCAACGTTTTTCTATCGTAGTACTCAAAATCAGTGTCAGTTCCAGCTCTGGTTGCAAACGCTTCGTTGTGTTCAGTGATCATGTTTACTAGCTCGCTAGATAAGACATGATAAGATAAGATAAGCTGCTAGGTCACTTTTTGCTGTTTTTAGCATGGGGTCCCCGGCTTTTGTCGCATATCACATTCTATTGTTTAAGTGCATGGATTGTGCCAAAAATCTTTCACTCGCCTGTTCAGAGCGTCATGTCTGTTTGTTCTGAGTCGTCGCAGTGCTACGCTATTACGGTAGATCCCAGGGCTTATTTGATTGGTACTGAATCTGTGGAGCTCCTCAGAGTGAGTGACTCCAGTGAGTGAGGAATTTCGCTCTTTTGCTACATGAACTTCTTACAATAAGCCATTAATTATACAGACAATAAAGTTAGAATGAATTGACGACGTGATGAGTAGGATTATCTTGCGACGGAAACTAGTGCTAAACTGACAGAGAGGTGATCTGCTCAGGTGATCGGCTGTCTTCCCATGCAAGACAAACTCTAATCTAATCTTATCACAAATTTCACGTCTATTTCCTTTAATTCAAAGATTTTAAACTACAACACTTCAATTCAAGATTAGTAGTAAAGTATCATAAAAGAAATAGCAATCTTACAGGAAAAAAATCAGCAACATGCGAACAAAACAGTACATGGGAGAGAATGAGTTGCAAAATTGGCGCGTTTTTTCCGCCTGCGACACGTTCAAACTTAACACGTTAGTGGATGCATAAATTTGTCGAATGTATAAGGTGTTGATTACAGGTCACACATTGCAGCGATGTGGGGCAGCACTGCGGCTACTAGTACGCAACATTAGTTATATAATTTTTTTATGTACGATGGATATCAAAATAAAAGCAGCGTCTAGCAGCTACAGCATTATTTGATTCCTCAAAGAATGTGTAACACTGACTGGCTTGGTTGCTGATACCTCCACGCGGAAAGACTAACCTCCTCTGATTATAATTATTGTCGTTCGAATGTTTTTAAAACAGCAAATTTAAAGCTCTCCACATCTCTTCCTGAATCGAGATCCACTGTTGCCTGAATAAAACTAGTGAGCGCTCTATGCTCGCGGCGCGCGGCAGATTCACGTAGCCACTCTTCCTGTACATCTTTTATCGTCGGTACTCTTTCCTTATAGGTTCACTACTCTAATACTGGGGTCTGATTCTTGTAGTTTGCGTTTGTCACTGCTTCTACGTTCGGGCAACGATCCTCACTTAAAGGCAAACTTCGGGCTCAGACCCACCTGAGAAGCCCTTACCATGGCTAGAAGTGCTGGGTACGCTAGTGCAAAGCAGGGTCAACCCTATCGTTGTTACTTTTCGAAAAATTTTTACGACCCCCCTCCCCCAAGGTGGATTTGGTACGACCCCCTTTTCGACACCTCGACCACCATATTCCTCTCTATAGTATTTAATTCTTTCCACTACCACTCAACCCTCAAAACTCCGCCCACTTTTTCCTCCAAAAATGCCGTCGAGCGGGGGGGGGGGGTATATATACGCCGGCTGAAACGGCAAATTTTTATCTTGCGCGCCCTCCACTCGCCAACCT